AGAGAGAGAGAGAGAGAGAGAGAGATCGGGAGTAGGGGAATCAAATGAAGAGGAATCAGAGGGAGGGAGTGTAAAAAGCAGGACGAGAATGATCGACTCGCATGCATGTGTGTGCATGAGCGTACAATTACGCGTACTACTATGCAAAAGAGGTACGAGCGAAAAGGATAAGTAAGCTAAACGATATAACTGTTGAGAGTAGAATGGGGAGGAGGAAACGAGGAGGAGAACAGCACGTAATTGCGAGATGAGAGAGACGCGTTACACCTTTGTCAAAGTATAGAAGAAGAGCAGGAAGAAGAAAAGAAAGAAAGTGTGGCAACGGTGAGAGTCGATGAATAGCGATTGTGTTGCATTTGGGAAGGAACAACATACGCAGAACGCGTATATATACACACAGGATTTTCGTAAACGTTTTATAACTGATCGTGAATACCATCGATTTTTCTTTCTACTTTCCTTCTCTTCTTCTCTCATTTTTCTTTCTTTCTATACCCAATAATAAATAAATGAGTTAGCAAGACTTTTCAGGTCTCTCCCGACTGTTCGCTGTGAATTGTACTGTCAATGATCGGCATGACGTAAACTCAAAAGATTTCTCAAAAAGCGCCTTCGAGTACTCGTGCGTTTTATGACGTTACGTGAATATTCACGTACGTTCGAATTTCGTTCACACTCTGTTTCCCGGCGTACAGAAGAGTCACTCGTTCTACTTTCACCCCAATTCTTCCGCGCGAAACCCGAATCGACTTCGCGTTTGCAAAGCTGACGATTTTTCGTCCCCGAGGTTCGATCACGATAATCCGCAAAAAATCTCACTTGCGATATATATTGCAAAGTGATGTTCGTGGATGAAACACTGCTCTGCAATTCGATTCGTACGAGATTACAAATGTTCGGTATGGCATCGCAAGGATTTGCTTCCTGCATACCGATAGAGTGGCGTTGGACAACGTTAGCCAGCATTGCTCGTTCGTACCATAAATAAATTCGCTAGAAATCGCGCGAATTGCAAGCCGTGAACCAAATGATTGGCATTAAATTACGCATGATCGACGGTGGTTCTCCTGTTCGACGCGGTATCGCGCTCGTGAAATACTGTTACGTAAGCGCGGGATACTACGTCTGCAATATTCGACGACAATACTTTTCTAAAATCTTACTTTACTTTACTTTACTTTACTACTACAGCTGTAAGTAATTTCTGTCAATTAATTCCCTCTTCGTAGTAGTCAATCGTAACATTTCGCTTCACGAAAAGCGAGAAGATCTGATCGACGGTTTCAAGCGAGGCGAAAGCGGAAACCGGCAAATTTTCCACTGGCTAGGATGAATTGGCGATATACATCCAAGCTTCTCTATCCCGAGAATCGTTCCTTTCCTATCAGTGAAAGTGCAAGAAAATTGATCACCTTTTTGCTATAGCCGTACATTACTCCAACGTAGACAAAAGCAACGCGAACGGTGGCTAACATTTTCATGAAACCGGAGAATTGATGGGACCCCGTTCGCCTCGGGGCAAACTTCTTTCGCTGCGTGCAGCTTCTAGCAAACGACATTACCTGATCACTCGTTGCGTGCTGACACCTGCGGGACCATCGGCAAACCAGCTACTCCTTGAACTTCCATTCCTGACGACACATCGGACAGAGATGCCTGGTTTGCTGCGAATGCAACCACTTCATGATGCAGTGTATATGGAAGCAATGCGAGCATTGGCCCCAGACTAGAACAGTATTTACACCATAAACGTTCCTTCCCTCGGTTCGAGTACACGCGCACCTCGTATTATCGTATAACAACCGGCGGCCACCAGAGTTTGTCGAGTTTACATTGACACGCGCGAGTACGCGCGCGTCAGAACGTGGGATATCGTGTGCGAGCGATCCGTTTCATTTCGGCACACCGATCGATATTTATGCCTGGCAGCTGCGCAAACGCTGTCGCGGTATTTTACAAACCATCTATCGGACAAATCAATCGCCTGTAGAGTCTTTCTCTTTAACAGTTATTTACATTAAAATTTGACACTAACGTTTTTTTTTTTTCCTCATTAAATTGAAACCGTACGATCTCGATCGACGCGATTCATTCATTTTTTCACCGTTTCATCGTTCACTCGACGAAATCTGACAAAGGATTGTTATTTATTAAAAGGAGTAGAATTGAACTTACCCAAAGGGCAATCGTCGCCAGGGATTTTACAATCTGGGCAACTAGCATCAAACGGCATTCTACATATGCCGCAATTGTCGTCGTTCGCTATCCAACGCCAGGTGGCGACACCAGTCCAACCTTGAAAAAATTCTCACAATTGTTTACCTCTTTCGTATCACATGATCCGTGATATAAATATACATAATTAAATGGTATCGAAAAATGTAGCAGTAAATGTCTATTTTCTGCTTGCGACTATTGGTAGTTACAAAAGTAAACTAAGAATATAGCAAGTTAGCTGAACATTCCACAATTCGCATACTCACTTTTTATCGTGACTTTCATTCTGCGTGCCCAGCGACGAGATGATTTATTATCGCCAAATGTGTTATCAACGGTCGATCGGTAAATGCACGTTGCAGATCACGCACTGTAAAGATACACGGTGTAGCGAGATTTTGTAAATCACAAAAGACCAAAACCGTTCTCGGTCAATGAGAGGTGACACAAGATTGGAAACGTGTCGAGGACTGACATATTGCGCCCGGCATATTGCGCCATCTTACAACTTTTGAACAATCCTCGTGTCAATGTGCATACCATTCGTACCGTACCGTATATACGTGAATGAACAATTTATACATTGGTAATTTCTTTCTCTGTCTCTTTTTCTGTGCATATCCATCTAATACACATATATTATATATATAATATATATTCATACACACACATGTAAGAGAAAATATATCACACGTACTTACCAACCAGTTAGAGCGTCGCATTAGTCATTTAAATACAAAATTTCCAGCTTATATGGAAACTCGTAAATTTTTTAAAGTGATGGGGTAGCATATACCGCCTTTGGTATTCTCAAGTTTACCTAAGTTACGTACAAGTACATGTTACAGCATAACGACAGTATACGTATATACATATATGCGTAGAGAAATATGTACAGTTCTTTTGAAAGTTTAAGATGCCGAAGCGAGTTGGCCTGCAGATTCGCCGGAAAATTCTAGAACGTTAAAACGCGGGTATCGATAACGCATGGTTTGCTGGTTGCGCTGATGTCGCTCGCACGGAAACTCGCCTTCCCTCATTGTCGTGTGACACGGGGACGGGTGGACCGTTGGAAACAATCCTAGTGGCGGCGCGCCGCTGGATGATATACGGTTGTGGTTCGTTTTGTGATGCGGAAATGTAAAAGTTTCGCATCGAGAACGAGGGAATCGGCATCGGCTGGCGTGCACCGTTAGTCAAGGAGAGGGAAGCCTCGCGGATCGTACGATTTCGTCGAGAGTTTCTGTCAAGATAAACGCGAAACAGGATGACACTCGTGGTTTGAGCAAAGATCCCGATCTCGTGTGTGCAGCCTGCCAGTCGCGACATGGCGGGTTTTCGAGACGAGGACAAGGCACTATTCCCTATACAGAGCATATCCTCGATCGTACGGATCTTCCAGAATCAGTTGGAGAACAGCTCGGAGCCGGACCTGGCTCTGCTCTCGATTCTCGTCGGCGCAGTCGAGAATTCCCTAACCTGCAATCGGACATTTGCGTCGCAGGAGGCCACTGTTTACGACGAGCCGAAATTGCCGGCCGTCGAGTTCCACATTGCCGAGGCCCTTTACACCAAGTTTCACGCGGTGATCAAGGGCGCGGTCGATCTTACCGTTTACGATACGAAGTACGCGACACGGGAACTGGTCAAAAAAGTCTCCGACGTTATATGGAACTCTCTGACTAGAAGCTATTACAAGGATCGTGCACATCTACAGAGTCTTTACAGCTATCTCACGGCCAATAAGTTGGATTGTTTCGGCGTGGCCTTCGCGGTGGTTGCTGGCTGCCAGGTACTGGGATTTAAAGATGTACATCTTGCCATGTCAGAGGATCATGCTTGGGTAGTTTACGGGGAGGATGGCACTGAAACTGCAGAAGTTACCTGGCATGGTAAGCGAAACTTAAACTTGAATAAACTCTGAATCTGATGGAGATACTGAGACTTGTACCGACTGTTACAAAATTGCTTGTTATTATGTCTTTAGGAAAAGGGAATGAAGATAAACGCGGCCAGCCAGTCGAACCTGGGGTGGCATCTCGTTCATGGTTGTACGTAAATGGACAAGCCGTTGTATGCTCCAGAGCTATGGAAGTTGCTACCATAGTGTCGGCCATAAATCCCAGTTTAAGTGCTACTTCGGACGCAGCGGAGGTTGCATTGCTCCAGCAAGAGTTGTTATGGTTATTGTACGATCTGGGTCATCTGGCCAAGTACCCCATGGCTCTTGGTAATCTGGGAGATCTGGAGGAAGCAGCTCCGACACCAGGCAGGCCCCCTGCCATAGATCTTTTTCAGGTATCTTACAGACAATCCGCAATTATGAATAATTCACTTGTTCGTAAGTTTGTTGGATCAGTTTGCACGTAACCTTTGGATATGTGACTTCTTAGGAAGCTATCCGATCAGCGAGGAAGTACTATGGAAACGCTCACGTGTATCCGTATACTTACCAAGGTGGCTACTTGTATAGACACGGATTGCATGCTAACGCGTTGTCGTCGTGGGCAGATGCGGCGGATGTTTTAAGAAAGTAAGTATTAATCTCGGTAGAGCGTGCGATATTTTCGAACTTGAGTGAAGGAAATTCATAATCAACAATTCTAATCCCGATTCTAATGTGTAATCAGGTATGACTATTCGAGGGATGACGGAGAGATATATAAAGAATTGTTGGAAATAGCGAACGAGCTTATACCTCATACGGTACGAGCTGACGAACGTTTGTTACGACAGCCGCGTTGTTTTGCTTATTTGTTGAGGTTTTACGACGGCATTTGCCAATGGGAGGAAGGAGCGAACACGCCTGTTTTGCACATAGGATGGGCACGGCCGTTAGTAAATACCATTTCAAAGTTCGATGCCAGTATCCGTGCTCAGGTAATTATCGATTGTTACGACGTAGAGGCGAAACAGGAAGAGGAGAAATCGCAGAAGCGGGAGACAAGCCCGGAAGAGACGTTGAACAACAACAACAACAACAATTACTGTAAGACTAAAGAGAGAGGGAACGCGGCTCGCGACCTGATCAAAAGCCTGGAGTCGAAAGTGCCGTCTAACCCGGCGCCGATGCATCCTAGCATTCAAGCACTGACGGCAGCGTGCAGCGAAAAGATACTTAACCGAGATTACCTATTGCAAGGTGGCGGAGAGCCGTTTGTCGCTCCGTCCGACGACGCTCTGCCTCCCGCGCCTTCCACTTCCCAGGAGAACCTGGACCCTGAGGTAGAGACTGATTCTGAGCACGAGAGACCAAGGATAACGTTGTATAGTCAGAAAATGAAAGGTTTGAAGGACCTGCTGTTGGCTGAGAAGTTGAACACGCATGCGATATCGTTGCAGCTGACCGCACAGAGCCAGGTACAAATTGGTAAAAAGTCACGTAATACCGACGAGGTTGGAGTTAGTCAACGTCCAAAGAGGACGCGTCGCGAAT